GAGAGAGAGAGAGAGAGAGAAAGAGAGAGAGAGGGTCAGAGAGACAGAGAGACAGAGAGACAGAGAGACAGAGAAGACAGAGAGACAGAGAGACAGAAAGAAGAAGAGATCGCGCGAGAGAGAGGAGAGAGATAGATAGAGAGCGTGTATATGTGTGCGTGCGTGCGTGTGTGTGTGCGTGTCTGTTAGCGTGCGTGCATTTCTACTCATGTTCGCGCGCATGCGAGAGACAGAGAGTGAGACAAAAGGAAACAGACAGAGAGAGGGAGAGCGAGAGAGCGAGATGAGAGCGACAAAGAGAGAGTAAGAGGGGGGAAGAGATCACGGAGGAGCTGTTGCTACCGCTGCATCACCGTGGTCGCGACAAACCTCAAGTGAAAAATTCACCTTACCAATATACCACTCTTACCAATATATATATATATATACATATATATATATATGTGTATATATATATTTATATATATATGTATGTATGTAGTCATTGCGCGTTCTCGCAAACAAACGAATTTGAAATTAAACGGGAATTTAATCATCGCGAATCGATTCCCAGCGGTGGCGGCGGCGGCGCTGCGATCGCAGAAACGCAGACACGCTGAGGTTTCGGGTCGTACGATGGAAACTCCGTTTCCAGCTTTTCAAAGGACGGTTTGTCACCGGGCGCTGGCCGGTTTGCAGGTTAAGAGAGCGAAAAATTGCCGTTAGATACGGGTCATATTAGAATCGTTTGGGTATGATCGGTGTGTGTGTGTGTGTGTGTGTGTGTGCGTGCGTGCGTGCGTGCGTGCTGGCGGCGCGTGCTTGCGTGTTGCGTGCGTGGTGATGTGTGCGTGCGCGTGGGTGTGTGTGCGGGTCGGTGCGTGCCGTGCGTGTGTGCGTGCGTGCGGGCCTGGGGTAGTGTCTAGCCGTGTGTGGTGTATGTGAATGAACGGGACACTTCTGGAATGCACAGGGCGGTCATCTATTGCTGGTGTTTGTGTGGTTTAGTTACGGCTCGCTTTTTCCCTGCCAACATGAAGTTGAGGTGCGGATTTACAGGAAGCACTGTGACTGCTTACGAAGGGAACTGAATGAAATATCTCTCTCCGTGTGTTGACACCGGCTCCTCTCTCTCTCTCTCTCTGCTCTCTCTCTCTCCTCTCTCTCTCTCCGCTCTCGCCTCTCGCCTCTCGGCGCTCTTTTTTCGCTCTGAACTTTAATTCGCTCTTTTCTCGTTAATTCACTCACTCGTTCTCTTTCACTTCTCACCTTCTCTCTCACGCTCACTCTCGATCGATCTTTCTTACTTTTCAATTTCTCTCTCTCGCTCTCGTTCTCGCTCTCGCTTTCGCGCCCTCTTTCGCCTCTGACTTTAATTCCGCTCTTTTTCTCGTTAATTCACTCACTCGTTCAACTCTTTCACTCGCGCACCTTCCTCTCTCACGCTCATTCGATCGATCTTTCTTGCTTTTCAAATTTCTCTCTCCTCGCTCTCGTTCCTTCGCTCTCGCGTTCGAGCCACCTCTTTCGTCTGAACTGATTCGCTCTTTTCTCCGTTACATTCTCACTCGGTCACTCTTTTCTCTCGCATTCTCTCTCACGCTCAAGCTCGATCGATCTTTCTTACTTTCAATTTCTCTCTCTCGCTCTCGTTCTCGCTCTCGCTTTCGCGCCCTCTTTCGCTCTGAACTTTAATTCGCTCTTTTTCTCCGTTAATTCACTCACTCGTTCACTCTTTCACTCTCACCTTCTCTCTCACTCGCTCCTCTCGAGCGATCTTTCTTACTTTCAGTTTTTCCTTCTCCTGACCGCCCGGGCGCATCATGTCGGCATCTATCTGTCTCTCGCCCGCCCGCTGACTCTCGAGTTTGGTTGGTCTCGTTTTGTTTGCATTAAATGATGTTTCGGTCTTGTTCGGATTCCTTTCTCGTCCACTAGTCCTAGTACTTCAGGCAGAGAGACACAGAAGGGAGAGGTAGCGACTGGAGGAAGCGCGTAGAGAGCAGAGAGAGAAGAGAGAAACGGGGGGGGAGGAAGGAAAAAGACGATATATGAAAATCTAGAGTGAAGAGAGAGGAACAGTTTGTGATAAAGATAGAGGAGGGAGAGAGGCGAGAGAGATGAGAGAAATTCCGAGAGAGAGACTGAGGAGAGAGAGAGAGAGAGAGACGAGGAGAGGAAAGGGAGACGCGCGTGGTGAAGAGGAGAACAGGAAGAGAGAAGGAGACGAATGACGAGAGAGAGAGAGAGAGAGAGAGAGAGAGGATTCGGGAAGAGACAGGGACACACACAAAGAAAGAGAGAAAGAGAGCGAGATAGTGAGAGAGAAAGAAAGAGAAAGGAGAAGAGATAATATAAGGTATAATGAGAAATGAAGTGACAGCGACAGCAATGAAGGAATACAGCGAGCGGACGAGGGGTAAATAGACGGTGGTTAGTGCAACCTCCACATGACGGAGAGACGTGTAGAATAACGCCAGCATTGTACGTACGCCTAGACACTCTCGCTCGGCGCTCTCCAAGTAAACGCACCAGCCGCCAATATCAACTCGTTGGCGTGCACTGAATACAGAATACATGCTCGCCTAACACAGCGTTAACACAGACTTGTCGTGTGTGTTTTTCAGGACGTGCGAGTAGGAACGAAGCTGTTCGAACTCTCGGCTCAGGATCCCGACCAGGACCTAGGTGGCGCTGTCGTCTACCAGCTCGATGTAAAGGTGAGCATTATGAGACGAGTTGTGATTTCTTTGTTTCGGTGATTTTTTTAGAACGCGAGATCTGGTTCGATGGAGACTTTCCACCCGTACGTACTCACGTACACACGTACACACACACGCACGCGTGTAATCATGTACACACGTACACGCGCGCACGCGTGTACACACGTACACACACACGCACGCGTGTACACACGTACACACGTACACGCGCACGCACGCGTGTACACACGTACACACGCGCGCACGTGTACACGTACACACGCACGCACGCGTGTACTCACGTACACACGTAGACACGCACGCACGCGTGTACACACGTACGCACACCCGCACGCGTGTACACACGTACACACGCACGCACGCGTGTACACACGTACACACGCGCGCACGTGTACACGTACACACGCACGCACGCGTGTACACACGTACACGCGCACGCACGCGTGTACACACGTACACACGCGCACGCGTGTACACATACACGCACGCACGCGCACGCACACACTGGTAGGGCAGGCTGGTTTGGCGGCATGCATGCAGCGTGTGTAATCTCCCTCGGCTATGCCTGTACGCGGAGTAATCTCTCTGCAGATGCCCACGCGCGGAACCATTTCTTTTTAAGATTGCCTAGTAATTGCATGTAATGCATTATCATCTCTCGTGATTATGTTATTCGTTGAGACAGCGACCATTAGCGCCCTCATGCGGCGCCTCGCGGCCTGCCTGCCTCTCCTCTCTATAAGATGTTATGGTCACGAGAGCGTTGCTGTCTATACTGAATAAAACATCACAAGCACACCATTATTATATTCATCATCGCTCTCTCTCTCTCTCTGCTCTTCTCTCTCTCTACGCTCTCTCTCTTTCCCCCGCCCTCTTTTCTCTCTCTCTCTCCTCTCTCCTTCTCTTCCCTCTCCTCCCGCCTTCTCGCTCACCCCTCTTGCGTGCACCTCTCTGGCTCTCGTCTCTCTCTCTTCCCCTCCTCTCCATCCCCTCTTCTCTCACCCTCTCGCGTGGGCACGTCTCCTCTTCGTCCTCTCCTCTCCTCCCCCCTTCTCTCTCACCCTTCCTCAGCTGTGCACCTCTCGTCGTCTTTCTCCTCTTCTGTCTCTCGTCTCTCTTTCGCCCTTCTTCTCGTCCTCTTTTTCTCTTCATCCCTCTCAGCGTGCACGGCTGCTCTCTCTGCTCCGTCTCTATTCCCCTCTCTCTCCCATTTCCTCTCACGCCTCTCGCTGCATCGCGTGTCTCATCTTTTTCGCTCTCCCACCGCCTTCTTCTCTCACTCCGTCCCGCTCCCGGCCCGGTCCGCCTGCACACGCCTCTCTCTGCTCTTTCCCGCTCACTCTCTCACCTCTCTCTGCACGCCCTCTCGGGCGTGCAAGGCTCTCTCTCTGTTATCCTTTGCGTCTACACTTCTTCTCTCACCCGTCTCCGCGGTTGCAGCGCTTTCTCCTCTTTCTGCTTCGCTCTCCCCTCTCTCTCTTCACTGCGTCCGCGGTCCACCGCCCTGGACCGGGGCCGAAACAGCGCGGTCGAGGACTCCGTCCCCCTGCACACTTTCCTTCTGCCCTCCTCTCTCTCGATTCCGCTTTCTCTCCACTTCCCTGCTCCGTCAACCCCCTCGCTGTGCGTACGCTCCCTCTGGTTCGTTTGCCTTTGCTCTCCGCTTCTCTGGTTACCCTCGTCGCGGCACGCTTCTTCTCCCTCTCGCTCTCGTCTTCCACTCTGCCTGCCCTCGCTCATCGCCAGTTTCGTGGCTGCGATTCTGCCTAACAGTATGCCAGCATTACGCTGATCACATTCCTAGCATCTTCGCCGCCGACGCCTCCCTAAACTAATATATGATATATATATTATATATAAATATATAGTATATAATATAATATATATATGTATGAATATATATATAGAGAGAGAGAGTAAGAGAGGCTAGAGAGAGAGAGCGAAGAGACGTGGTGTGTGTGTGTGTGTGTCCGGTGTGCATGTGTGTGCTGTGATGCGGACGCCTGCTGGTGTGGTTTGATGTGTGTGTGTTGTGTGCTGTGATCGATAAGTGGGTGTGTGTGCGTGCGTGCGTGCAGACGTGGAGCCGAATGTCGTTAGCGGGTTCAAGCGCGCGGCGCAGGGAGCGATGTGTGGATGCTGGTGATGTGGCTTTGGTGGATCCGCGCGCGTGTGTGTGTGTGTGTGTGTGCGTGTGCGTGTTTGCATGTGTGCGTGTGCTTATGTGTATGTTTGTATAGCATATATATATATATATATATACATATGCATGTATACTGGAAAGCCAAGCTCATATCAAATAATCTTTTACTTACATTCAAACTCATATTACACTCTCCTAATATAAAAAGCAACGAAAAGCGACTTTAAATGGCTTCAGCCATTTCGATTTCGCGACGTGATTCGTGTGCAAATGCATCATCTCCAGCTTCGGCGTCTCCGATTTAAGTGCACGATTTCCATGTTCGAAGCAGTAATATCAGCGGCCTGGTCTAACGCAGCCCGCGCTGCAAAGGGAATATCTCCCGTCCGTTCTGATGGGTCGCAGAGATGTGCGGGTGAGTGCGTGTGCTGGCGAGCCACTCATGTGTCGTAACTGCGAAGAGACTTGTTGTTTGTCCATGTACCACTGGTTTCGCGCCATTCTGTTGTCTTAACGGGGGAATTCGCGCAGAATCCGCTGATTTTGCAGACGTGTTAACTTTAGCGATATATATGTACACACACACACACGCACACACGCACACACACACACACACACACACACACACACACACANTACACCGCACGCACGCTGCCGCACGCTGCCGCACACTGACACATATAGAAACATGTGCGGCAGCGTGCGGCAGCGTGCGGCAGCGTGCGGCAGCGTGCGGCAGCGTGCGGCAGCGTGCGGCAGCGTGCGTGCGGTGTATAGTAAACCTGGCTTGTTCGCTATGCAATGGCATCGCACAAACGACATCTATTTACCGTGTTTCACCGGTCCGTTGATTTTGATGGTAATTTTGATGTTGATGCTGATGTTGATATTGGCGTTGATGTTGATGTTGATGCTGACGCTGATGTTGATGTTGATGTTGATGCTGATGTTGATGCTGGTGCTGACGCGGATGTTGATGTTGATGCTGGTGCTGACGCTGATGTTGATGCTGATGTTGATGTTGATGTTGGTGCTGATGCTGATGCTGATTTTGATGTTGATGATGGGAAATAATAATTGTTGTTGCTGTTTTTTCTTTCATCGCGCGCTGGTAGAATCGGGACTACTTTTACGCGGAGACGGACAGCGAAAATCGGCTGCAAGTATTTCTCAAGAAGCAGTTCGACTATCAAGAGAAGTCCATCCACGAAGTTAACATCACAGCATCGGTGAGTGTAACTGGTGCCTATTTCTCTCTCGCTCTCTCTCTCTATCCCTTCTCTCTTCATCGCTCTCTCTCTCTCTTTCTTCGTCTCTGCATATGAGTACCTTCTTCTGTCGCGAGCACTCGCTCTCCTCTTCTCTTTCTCTTTCAGGCTCTCTCTTTCTCTTCTCTCTCCTCTCTCTCTCTTCTCTACCTCTCTATTTTTCTCTCTCGTTCTCTTCTCTCTCTCTTCTCTTGCTCGTCTTCGTGCTTTCTCCAACCACCCCACCTTCTCTCTGCGTTCGCCTCTCTTCTTTCTCTCTTCTCTCTTCGTCTCCTCTCTCTCTCTCTCTCTTCTGCTGCCTTTCTCTCTCTCTCTCTCTCTCTTCCTCCATCTCTCTTCTCCTCTTCTCCTCTGCGTTGGCTCGTCCCCTTTAGCCTATATTCTTTTTCTCTCTTATTCGCTCTCTCTCTTTCTCTGTTTTTTCGGCAGGTCAGCCGATCAGTTCAAAAGATCCGTTGTGCCATTCGATTCTAGTTAGCTGATTTCGGTTGAGCTTCAAATTTAGTGTATCGGTCGGTGTCTTAGGTCACTCGCTCCGGCGTGATCGTTCACAATAATGCGTTATCCACTAATAGAGTCGCTGTCTGGTTCCCGCTAATTTCTCCTCTGTAGTTATGACGCAACCGGCAGTTAGATGCGATTATTGAATATGACTATCTATGCACTTTTTTTGTTAGTGGTTAGGTTAGTTTAGGTTTATGGTTAGGGTTTAGGTTATTAGGTGTGTAGGGTTAGTGGTTTTTTTTTTTTTTGACAGTGCCCTAGTAAGTCATTATCCGATAGGTATTTGGTTGTCTGTTAGGTGTGTGTTATCTCATATCGCATCTAACTGTATCAGCTGGTGCATTAAAGCATCACGCCGGCTGTGGTGGCTCAATGAGCGATTGTGTGAAATAGCGTGAATCGGAGTTTTGATGCGAAAGAGCTGAACTGCTGATTGCAGTCACCCTGTGCCCAGCACGAAAATCCATAATTTTAATGAAACGAAGACAAAAAAAGGCATAGAGTGTTCCAATATTGGTAAAAATCACGGGGCAATTTTCCGACGCGCACACAGAATCGCAACGTGTATTGCTGGCCGTGGCGCATTAATTTCCTCGGTGACTATTTGCGCTCCGGCGGGTGACCAATCACTTCCAGCTATTGTCGGGTAAATCCGCAATTGAAAAAAGTGGCGGTAGCGGTGGAGAGATATTTACGAAATCAGTCATGTTTGTGTGTGTGTGTGTGAGGGGCCCCCTGAGTTTCGAGCGTTAGTAGAGCTAAGGTTGATGTGTGCAAATTTACTCGTGAATTTGCCTGAAAATTTGACGCTTACTACCTATTTCGAAAATTAAGCGTACCTAGTCGCCCTGGTTAAAAGTTTTACACTTTTGTAAACCATACTCTTCGGTTCCCTAAATGTTTTTCCGGCATAATAGGGTGTTACAGCAAGATAAAAACAAAAACGTAAAAGTATATCCCGATAGTATATACTCGGTCTGTTTTATTTCAGCGAGTCATATTCTCTTATGTTACTATTCTCCTTCCCTGCGAGAGGATACAATTTTATTAACTTTGCACATGCCAACATATTTCGTGCTCCGAAGACTAAATGTGTAGGCGTGGGGTATATAATGACAAATTATCTCCAAGGTGGGAAGGTAGCTGGAGTGAGTTGCATCTAATGCGACGTATACCCCCCAAGTGAGGATACTACACTAGGTAAGGGAACGGTTTATTCCCAGCTTTCCACGTAAAACGCGCTTCATTTCTCAAATCCCGTTTAATCAAAAATCACAATTTCGGGTTTCTCGCCTCCCGGTCCCTATTCCCTTAATCACGAGAAACTAATCAGGTATTTACCGTTCTCGGTTAATAATAGAATTAATTATTATAATTAATTATTATAAATAATAATTATAATAATAATTAATAATATTAATAATTATTAATAAATAATATAATAATAATAATAATAATTAAAAGCGTTTTAATGATATAATTAATTAAATTAATTATATAATTAAAACGCTTTCAATCCCCGCGTCCCAACAATAAACGACCTCCCCCTACTTACTATATAGTAATATCTAGCTCTATAACGCTGCGTTGTTTGTGTAGGATGGAGGGGATGAGGCCGGTTACGCACCGATACATCACACGAGCATACAGATTTACGTGGAAGTGATCGATGTGCCCAACAAGCCGCCAGTCTTTGTCAACCTGCCGTACTCAGTCGAGATGCCAGAACAGCTGCCAGTGGTATGTAGTAGCTACTAGTAGTATGTGTTAGCTACCAGTGGTATGTATTACCTATGCTATTCATATGTGTTAGCTACAAGTAGTATGTGTTAGCTACAAGTAGTATGTATTAGCTACTAGTAGTATGTGTTAGCTACTAGTAGTATGTGTTAGCTACTAGTAGCATGTGTTAGCTACAAGTGGTATGTATTACCTATGCTAGTCATATGTGTTAGCTACAAGTAGTATGTGTTAGCTACAAGTAGTATGTGTTAGCTACTAGTAGTATGTGTTAGCTACTAGTAATATGTGTTAGCTACTACTAGCATGTGTTAGCTACAAGTGGTAGGTATTACCTATGCTAGTCATATGTGATAGCTACTATTAGTATATGCTAGCTACAAGTGGTATATGTTAGCTACAAGTGGTATGTGTTAGCTGCTAATTATATAGGCTAGCTACGGGTCTTATATGTTAGCTGCGAAAAGTAGGTGTTAGTCGTAGCATATATTAGTCGTATAAACAATAATTACCAGTCCAATCAGTATCAATACTCTTTAGTAGTAGCTACCAGGGATAACACCAGAAGGGTCACCGACATGCGGTTAAGATCTCTGATAGGTGGGTTGGTGGGCGGAGGTGGTGGTGGTGGTGGTGGTGGTGGGGGGAGAACCAATAATAAGAGTAGAGAGCCAAGGCACAATATATATATAATACATAACTATTGACATATTGTAATATATTGTTGTATAGATAATTCAGACCTTCATCCTACGAATTGCTTTCACAAGTTACTGTAACTAGGCTACAGATGCAGATCGACTGTACATCTCATTCACAGATCTTTCCCCGCGTCGAGTTGCTATTTTCATGCAACACGGGGGTGGGGCTGATCCTCCCTGACGGGGGTTTTTACTACCCCCGCCTCCCTTGATTGCTTGTTAGCTAGAGGCTGTGTGTGTTAGTTAGTCGGCAGTCGTAAATGTCAACTACCTGTCAATGTCGAGCTACGCACGTCGACTCCATGCTTAATTATCTCGATGTTCCTGCTAATGCGTTTACAGCGCAAACCACACTCACGCACACGCACACATACACGCGCACACGCTCGCACACGCACACATACACACATACACGCGCACACGCTCGCACACGCACACGCACACATACACGCGCACACGCTCGCACACGCACACAGATCACACGCGCGGCACGTACACACAGGCGCACGGCAGGCGCACATACACAACAGCGCGCCACAACTCACAACACACACACACACACACACCACCCCCACCACACACACAGCGACACCAACACACACACACGTTCACGCATCGCACCTACGCAACGCACCACAAATCAACACAACGGCACACACCCACACAGACAGCACGGACATGCACGCACACGCACACACACACCACACATACACCACCGACGCCCACGCAGCACACCACAGGACACACGACACACAGCAGTTACACACTAGCAATAGCACACACTACAGCACACACGAACACACAGACCACACACCACACACACATCACAGCACACAGCCGACACACAGATAAACATAACGTTTTCGGCTAACGTTTTTGATATTTTGTTTAATGGTTTGGTATGAATGAAACGTTTTCAGCAAACGTTTCGTAAAACGTTCTAATATAAGTTATATTTATGTTATTTAAATAACCGTTTGCGTAATAAACGTGCGTATAGGGGTTAGTAAAACTTTTATATATAGAAGGTTACCGTTAAGTTATTAAAACACGTTTGCCAAAATCGTTTGTTTGTCGTTCTACCAAACGTTTTGCCAAAAACTTGTTATAACCAGCCTACGTAACGATTTACAATAAGGTGTCGAAGATTGGTTCCTGCGTAAAAACGGTTATAAAACGCAACGTTTATTTACTGTTTGCATTACCAAGCCTATGTTTAGGTTTCCTGACAACACTTTTAGCTATGAACTAATTATTCTTATTCGACAATTCACGCGGAGACGCCGCACACGAATACGTAAGCAGCACAGCCGTCGACACGCACGGCACACGCCACCGGCACACCCTATACAGGCAACACACGTGCGGCGGCACAGCACGACGCACAACACCGCACGATACACAAGACACCCAGCGCGGGATCACGGCAACGCGACACGCGATGCGGCGCGCTGCCACAGAGGCCCGAGTCACATGACCAACACTAACTGTTGTCGTTGATATCGAGCACGTGTAGGTAGATAACAGTGCTGACGTTGAGACGCCACGCGGGGTTGTCGGCGTCCTTAGTAACGTCACATCTTAGCCTCATGCGGCCGTTCACTATGCCAGCAGACCCTCGCGGTCAACCTGTCGTCAGACTGACACTCCACTCTCTCATTCACGGCAAACGCTGCCAGCAGGTCCGCGCCTGTACATGCGCATGCGCGCCAAAATAAATTCACAATATTAGTTTATAGCAATGGTAATATCAATAATATTAATAATAAAATACTACATTACTACAAAATTATGTAATATATATATAGCAAGAAGCTAATTAATACTATTAATAAGCTATTATTAGGCTCTTGATCATATATATATATATATAATATATAATTTATATATAAATATTATTGGAATTACATTATAAGTTACTATTCTCGAACTCTATTAATTTATAATTAGAATAAGCTAGTTCTAATATTATATAATGTCGTATAATATCATATATATATATAGTATATATATATATAATCATTGATTAATATATTGTATTAATTCCGGTGCATTTTTAGTTGTAAGAATGCATGAAAGATTAAACTAGCTTATTGTATTATATATATAATATATATTATATATATAATAATAGTATTAAAATAGCCATATGCCAGCATTATAGCATGGTGACATGTCTAGCGTTATAGCTGAGCTGACATATATTAAACACGTCTGTTGACAGTACGTGTTTACCAAGATTGTGGGGCGCCACAATCGACACGGTTAATAGCCACAATATTTATTCATGTATGCACGTATATTGCACACGTTCTATTTATACTGCACACTGTCGCATATGTGTGTATAACACGCACGTGGTCGCGCCTTGGTGAGGCTGAAGAGTAGAGGCAGAGGTTTGCCCCGTATCCTGATCCAATAGGCCGACACCTGAATCCAGTTCACTTCCCTGTAACACAGGAGGAGAAATACACACAGGGTGTAACAGGCGAGTATTCTTACGTATCAGTTGCTGGCCCTTTAACGGCAGAAGAAATACACAGGCGTGTACAGCGAGTAGTTTACGGTATCAGCTCGCTGCCATTTAACACAAAAGAAATACACAGGCGTGTACAGTGAGTAGTTTACGGTATCAGCTCGATGCTTTGTAGGCATAGCGCAAAAAATCAACTAGTCAAGTACAGCGAGTAGTTTACGGTGGGCAAGTTTCGCTAACTCTCGCCGCCGGATGGCGGGCGCTAGCCAGCGGAACATGCGCCGGCCCCGATGGAGCTTCCGGTCACTACGACGGAGGAAAATAAGTTTACCGGAAGGCAACCTTTTCCTGTTCCTGTCTCTAGTTCGCGACCGCTGGCTGCAGACACACGCACGTGCGCGTGGACGCGAGTCCGTGAACACGTTATACACACACACAGCAGCGACGCACGGAGTGATGGCACGCAGATGCACACGCACACCGGCACGCACGCACACGCACACGCACACGCACACGCACACCACAGGGCCAACGCACACACACACAACAGTCGCAAGCGCACACGCACGCACACTGCACACAACGAGACGCGTATGCGCACACGGACGCCACGCCAACACGACGACGTCACACGCACACGCACAACGCACACGCACGCACAGCGCACCAGCACACGGCACAGGCACACGCACACGCACACACACACGCACATCACCATTGGATAACACACACACACAGCACGGACACACACACACACGGACAAGCACCACACACACACACACACCACAGCAACACACACAGAAGGTGTGCATTTCTGTTTAGCTTCCTTCTACTGCTAATGATGAGAGCTCACACGAGAGATGTCTCAATGGCTTCCTTTCTTCTTTACATTCGGACTACGGTATAATTTCTCGGGATGATTTCTCCGTGTGTCATACAGGCGCGCCGCGAATATTCCGGATCAATGTGATTAGAAAACGATGGTATGAATCCCACTGCGATCAATTTACCACGTTTTTAAATTCATCACCAACTCCGTCGCGCGCGCGCGCGTGTGCTGTGCGTGTGTGTGAGTCGTGTGTGTGTGTGTGTGTGTGTGTGTGTGTGTGTGTGTGTGTGATGTGTGTGCGTGTGGCGACGTGTGCGCGTGTATGTGTGCGTGTACGAGCGTGTGCGCGGCGCGTGGCGCGTGGTATGTGTGTGTGTGTGTGTGCGTGTGCCGAGCGTGTGCGCGTGTATGTGGTGGCGTGTGCGTGTGCGAGCGTGTGCGCGTGTACTGTGTGCGCGTGTGCGGTTGCGAGCGGTGTGCGCGCTGTATGTGTGACGCTGCGCGTTGCCGTGTGCAGCTATGGCGTGTGCGTGTGCGACGTGTCGGTGTAGTGTGTGCGTGTGCGTGTGCGAGCGGTGTGCGCGCGGTGTATGATGTTGCGCTGTGCGTGTGCGAAGCGTGTGCGCGTGTATGTTGTCTGTGTGCGTGTGCGAGCGTGGCGCGTGTA